TATTTATGCACAAATGGTACATCCTTTTTAGCTCTAGCTTGAGGAAAAGCCTGTGGAGAAGCGAAATGGTCCTAACAGAAGATGAGAGGAGTCACAGGTTTGTGGCAAGCCCTGTGTCATGCCTCCATCAAGTGGCAGATCTGTAAGCCAAATGCTGAGCAGATCAGCGTTCGGAGTCTGCACTGGAGTGAAAGACCAGAGGAGGCAGCGGCTTTGCTGGTTTGAGTCTGTTCGTGCAGTGGCTGCGTGATGCTGGGGTGCACGGTGCGATCAGGAACGTGGTTCTGGGTGCGAGGTGAAAGTGGGCGCTTCTGCTCTCAGACATGTGCTGATATGTGTGTATGCTTGAACCCTGACATGGGGCTAGCAGGGACAAAGGCAGCGTTCAGGGTGGAAGCTGTGAGGGCTCAGTAAGCGTATGAAACGGGGAGGTACAACTCCATGGCCTGTGCTGAGCTCCAGGGCTGCTCCAGAGGTGGGCTCTGGTGGTTTGCAGGACTCCAGAGCCGTGTAGCTGAGCCCATGCCATCGTGGTTTGCGGCTGGGATGTGCTGTCCTATGCTACTCAAGCAGCATAGAACAGCATGTCCAAAGAGTGCCTCTCTGTCTGTCTTGCCTTTCCTCCATGCCCGAGCGTGAGTGCACCTTGCCACCCCAGTCAGCCCCAATTTCTGCGTGAGGGAGCCTTTCTCCTCCTCATGCTACACACAGAAGTGCCCTCTGCTTGCTTTCGCCCTTGGGGACGCCCCTCCTGTTGTGCCCTCCTCCCTACACTGTGATGCTAGCTACAGACACCTCTGCTTCCTCCAGAAGTGAGCGGACGGGGGGTTTCTGCCTCCCTGTTCCCTGTAGCCGCGGAAGCTACGTGGTTTTCCAAGGTGGGAGAGCTCGCAGAGGCACCCCCTTGCGTCCCACGTCTTGTCCATACGTATTCCCCTCTCTTCTCCTCTCCGTGTGTCAGTGTGTGGGGCACCTGTCTCCTGACCTCGGTGTCTTGAGTGGGTGGGGGTCTTCAACCCTACCCTTTCCCCGAATGTGTAGTCGTGTTCTTTAATGGTGACTTCTCTCTGTGCCTTCCCGCGTGTCTGTGCATTTCTGCTGCTGCTGAAATCTGCCCCCAGGGGAGCGTTACTGGCAGAGGGGCCCTGGCTGGCACACTAATGTGTGAATAGTTCCTGTGCTTTTCTTCTCCTCTCCTCTCTTCCCTTCTCTTTCCC